TATAATATATATAATCTATCTAAAAATATAATATATGCTATTAGATATCTAAGATACATGTATAAAATATGTGATCTGTCTGAAAAGGTTCTTTTCTATGACAAAACCACTATATAATATAAATGTACATATATATTTAATATAAATTGACTATAAACTCAGTGTGAGGTGAGAGTCTGCAGGCTGAATTCACTGCCCAGGCATTAGTGTTCTTCAGCACAGCTGTGTGCTTCTTAAAGAGTTGCTTATGAATGTGCAGAAACTTAGTCTTTTCCATACTCCAACAGTCCTTGTTTGTTTGACTTTATTTATCCTGGGAGGTTAACTAGGAACTTTAATCTCCAGCTAATGTGTGTTGGGAACCATGGCACAAATGGGGGATGCTGCAGAATGTCAATACAGGAGCATTTGGGAAAGCAGATGGAAATGCAATCTAAAGGGACGACTAATACACATTGAAGGCACTCTTCAGGCATTGATGCCTCAACACTCTTTAAAGAATATCTGAGTGTGTTCAGATGTGAGTTGAAGCTCTTTAAAAGAGCTTTAGCAGACCTTGGGATTGATGACTCTCTTGCCATTTTGTTTGATATCAACTTGGTTGATAGAATGTTACTGGTTAATGCCTAGCATGACTGTGAACCCATTTTTTCAGGTTTATTATCCAGTGAGACATCATTTGGTTCAACATATGGTTAGTGCCATGCAGAGATTGGGCTTCACTCCCAGTGTTACAATAGAGCAAAGAAAATTAGCTGTGGATCTTGCTGAAGTGGTTATTAAATGGGAATTGCAAAGAATTAAAGACCAGCAGGTAAGGAGTCTAAACAAATGGGTACAGATTGAACTGTTCCACACTTAAGTGTAGCTTTTCTGACGTGCACCTTGCTGGTATTTCAGCCAGACTCGGATATGGACTCGAATGCAAGTGGAGAAGGAGCAAGTTCTGCCTCATCTGCTGTCAAAAGAGGATTGTCTGTGGATTCTGGCCAAGAAGTGAAACGATTCAGGACAGCTACAGGAGCAATAAGTGCTGTAAGAAACAATCAGGGGTTGTTCAGAGACACTGAATCACAACCTGCACTGACTAAGCAATTTAGTGTAATTATATTTTCCACATGGCTCGAAATTGAAGGTTTTAGCTTTGGAAAATGGTTTCAATATGTTCTTGTTGTTTTCTTTCTTCACTCTTGCTTATGGCTTGTGTTTTGTGTTCATACAGGTGTTTGGGCGCAGCCAGTCCCTGCCGGGAGCTGATGCCCTTCTTGCCAAGCCCATTGACAAGCAGCACACAGATACAGTGGTGAATTTCCTGATCAGAATTGCTTGCCAGGTGCTGTGTTTGTTCTGATATGTAAACAGCAGTGTGGCATTAGGAGCCAAAACCATCACACTCTCTTTTTGCTGGAGCTCTTTTTATGCTTGGATTATTCTAGTGTTTCTGTAGATCTTTTGTTGAAAGGATAGAAACTTTAATGCATAACTGGACAAAATGTGAAATGTTTTGATTTCAAGGAGGAAATAAATTGAATTTGATGCCCAGTTACTGCACATACTTCATTTCTCAGATGGATATTACCCATGGGAGTTAGGCTTTAGCTTGTTATGTTGACATGGTAGGGTTCTAGCTTGGTGAGGGGAGTGAGCACTTTGACATTAAACCTTTAATTGTGAACAATTGCTATCCAGATTTTGAAATTGAAAGAGTGAAACAGAAGTGCTGTTGATCACTTGTAGCATTTTGTTTGCTTTGTTTCTCTTTTCAAGCAAGGTCTATATTGGGAGTGACATGATTGGAATAAATGTCACTAGCAGAACTTGGCTGGAGCCAGGCAAAGACTTCAGAAGCTCCATAAGGGTTTTTTCTTGATTCATTTATCTGATTGTGTGCTGCTGCAAAGTCTGAGTGTTCTGTGGCGTGGTCTTAACAAAAAGAATACTTCACCCCAAACCCGAAGAATATTTAGAGAGTTCAGTAGCTTTAATATCAATAGGATTAATAGTTCAGCATCAATTACATATCTGTAATCTAATGATTGAAGTTGTATTTTCAAGATCCTATACACGGAATTACTTGTTTTCATGCAGTATGTACAACTAAGGCTTTGCACCAAATTTGCATAGAGTAAACTTTCTACAGTGGGAAAAATGAGCTGGGAGTAGATCAAAGCTGACCATTTATGGCTTCTGCTCCTGCAGCAGACTCAGCTGGGAAGTACCATGGGATTTTATACACCACAGCCCCTTGCACAGAGTGGATGTTCTCTTAAAGTATAAGATGGATGGAGTGAAGAGCTGCATATCTTTGTGGATAACTTGCAAATAGTAAACATAACCATCTTAAGCGCCTTCAGAGTAACGAAGTGTGGGCTGAAACTTTTTTAACTACCCCTTTGATGGGTGATTTGGGGTAATTATTAGCAATTCATTGTCAGCTCTTTATGCATTAAAATCCTCTATGCATATACTGATAGAACTACTTAAGCTCCTCCTTTTCAGAAACAAGAGGTTCTGTGCTTGCTTGGAATGCATAAGAAATTAAGGAATTGGCTACAAAAGGTCATGTTGTTAACTGTGGTTCATTTTTAGGTAAATGACAACTCCAACACTGCAGGATCTCCTGGAGAGTTGCTGTCTCGACGCTGTGTCAACCTGCTGAAAACAGCTCTGCGACCAGACATGTGGCCAAAGTCAGAGCTGAAGTTGCAGTGGTTTGATAAGCTGCTAATGACTGTGGTAGGTGATGTCCTAGCCCTCTAGGTCCTTAGGTTTTGCTGGCACTTGAGATGATTGAATACTGGTGATGTGTGCATACTCATTTTTAGAGCACTAATATTCTCTTCTTTGCAGTGAAATAGATAAATTGGGTATGTGAATTTCTTCTGGTTATAATTTGTACAACTATGGTTTAGGGGTTACAGCAGTGACAGGTTAATGGTTGGATTAGATGATCTTAGGGGTCTCCTCCAGCCTTGATGGTTCTATGATTCTATGTTATAGTGCCTGGTTTTTTTTAGTTTTATAGTGCATGACTTAGCCAAAAGATAGACTTGAAACATCACTAGTGTAAAAACCCCAGCGTTATATAGACTTTCACCAGATTTGATCTAAATTTGGTCATCTACGTCACCCTTGTGTTTCCCCTCACTCACTGCCTTTTTCTGTATGTTTTCTCTTTAGGAACAACCCAATCAGGCCAACTTTGCCAACATCTGCACTGGCTTAGAGGTCTTAAGTTTCCTCTTGACCGTTCTGCAGCCTCCTGCTATCCTTAGCAGCTTCAAGCCCCTGCAGAGAGGGGTGGCAGCCTGTATGACCTGTGGGAACACCAAGGTGCTGAGGGCAGTGCACAGTTTGCTCTCTCGTCTCATGGGCATTTTCCCCACAGAACCAAGTAAGTGCTTTTTGCTTCCTCCTTTCATTGCTGTGTAACTGAAGTTGTTAACGCTAGGGTGAAGATACTCTTTGTGATGTGCTAATACTCTGGTTTATGATTCCTGCATTTAATGGTCCCTTTTAGCTCGCACTTTCGATCTCTGTGTGAGAAAACGGTAATCATGTGGAATATATCATTATCTGCTGACAAAAAAACCCCTGTGGCTGTCATAACTTTAGCTCAAGAAATTCATGCTAGAAATGTCATGTGTTCTTGCAGTTAGGATTTTTCAGCTGCAGAAGTGCAGTCTTTGTGTTGTTAAGTGGTTTTGCTGGAACAAGGAAGCAGAAAAAGAAAAGGCAATAGGTAATACACCATGTCTTAACAAGAACTAATTGAGATAATCTTCCCTTAGAAAATAATCAATCAGTAATGCAAAACTGCTCATCAAATGGAGTCACTCAGAAGTGGTTTATAAAAGACATACCGGTTGCATAATAAAGAGATCTCTGTAGATGAGGGATCTGCATGTGTTACCTTAGTTTGTTTTTAAGATGAAATTCCAGTGATGTTTTAGCCACTGTATGTTCACAAACTCTTCCTTGCCTGTTCTGGGCCTAATGCCACCAAAATTAAGCACTGCTTTCAACTCTGCAGGTACCTCAAGTGTGGCTTCAAAGTATGAAGAGCTGGAGTGTCTTTATGCTGCAGTTGGAAAGGTTATCTATGAAGGACTCACTAATTATGAAAAGGCCACCAATGCTAACCCTTCCCAGCTCTTTGGTAAGTGTCCACAGCTCTGGTAGCTCTGTGTGCAATGCTCATTAATGAATTAGGTCTTTGTCATGAGCTTTCATTTGCTGTGAGGAAACTGTAGTCTGATATCATGCAGAGGGAACTCTGGGAAGCATTTCAAGCTAACTTGGGGGTGGTTGTTGATGACAAGCTCACTATGAACTGCAGTGAGCACTCACAGCCCAGAAACCAACCTGTCCTGGGCTGCATCCAAACGGGTGTGGCAGCAGGTCAAGGAAGATGATTCTCCTGCTCTACTCTGCTCTGGTGAGGCCCCACCTGGAGGTCTACACAGAGTTCTGGTGTCCCAAGCCTCCAAAGGACACAGAACTGTTGGAGCAAGTCCAGAGGAGGACACAAAGCTGATCAAAGGACTGGAGCACCTTCAGTATGGAGAGAGTTGGGGCTGTTCAGCCTGGAGAAGAGAAGGTTGTGTGGAGACCTCAGAGCAGCCTGCCAGGAGCTGAAGGGGCTCCAGGGAAGCTGCAGAGGGACTCTGTGTTAGGAATTGCAGTGACAGGACAAGGAGTGATGGAGAGAAATTCAAAGAGGGAAATTTAGGCTGGATATCAGGCTGAAGTTTTTCCTGTGAGGGTGGTGAGACACTGGCACAGGTTGCCCAGGGAGGCTGTGGCTGCCCCAACCCTGGCAGTGTTCACAGCCAGGTTGGATGAGGCCTTGAGCAACCTGCTCTGGTGGGAGGTGTCCCTGCCCAGGGCAGGGGGTTGGGACTGGATGATCTCTGAACTCCATTCCAACCTGCTTGCAATCTATGAATCTATGTATTTATAAATCTTAAATTCTCAGGAAAAAATGACAAAAGTACTATTTTTTTTCTTGAGGGAGAAGATATGAGTCATCGAATCATAGAATCAAAGAATTTTTAGCGCAGACAATTCTGAAGAGCTGAAATGTTTTTCTTCTCTTGTTTTTTTTCATACTTAGTTGTGAGAGAACTCAGTTATGTAGTAGAATGACAAAGATGTATTGGCATAATAGAGTTTGGCCCAGAACTGGTTATATTGGTAAACCAGACCTGAAATTGCTGATTTGAATGGTAAATGTCCTTCACTATTCTATTCTGAGCTGTGGAGATGGTGGTAATTTGCCTCTGGGAATTGCCAATTTGTCAGATGTCAGGATGTGCTTTACAGCAAACTAAGCAAGAAAGATGTTTGCTCCATTTAATCCAGAGCTGCCTTAAAAGCAGCAGAACAGTCAGGTGGTGCAGATTGTGGTAATTCTGGGGCTAAGAAGCTGAGCTTTGTGGGCCAGATTTTGTGCTCTTCTGAGCACAAAAAGAAATGAGAACTTTGGCAGGAGCCACTCACTGAATGTAGATGCTGTTGTGGGGTTTGGTTGGGTTAGAAAGCTGCAGGAGGATTGTTAGTGGGTATTGTTTTGCAGGATATGTGGACTTTTAAGGAGTGAAGGAGTTAACTAGTGTTAACTTTTTCAATCTACAGAAACATTTATGAAACTTTATGAAGTTTCTAGGTTTAAATTGATTTGATTTTTCATTACTAAACCCAGGCCTAGTCATTTAAAAGCATTCCTACTTTTTGCTCCTAAAACAAATGTGCAGCATTAGGAGTAGTTTCATTTATTTAAGAGCTCTTTGCTCTCAATCCCTCTCTTTCTGTCCTCCCTTTTCCTCCTTTACCTTCCATCACACACTTGCCTACACAACTCTGGAATATCTTGGTTCATGCAAAAATGACCTTTTAGACTTAGTCTAAGGACTAAAGTGGAAATTTTTATTCAGATCTCTCCAGATTTCTAGTGTTTGTTACTTGGTTTGTTGTAACTTGGTTTGTAACTCCTGTGCTGCTTTCATGGCATCTGTATCTTACTCAGGTCATGCCCCAGAGAGGTTTGAATCCCTAAAGTCTTGCTTTTATCCACAGGGACTCTAATGATCCTGAAATCTGCTTGCAGCAACAACCCAAGCTACATTGACAGGCTCATCTCAGTGTTCATGAGGTCTCTGCAGAAAATGGTCAGGGAACACCTGAACCCACAGGCCACAGCAGGAGCAGCAGAAGCAAACACAGGTATTGCATTATATAATCATTTCATGATTACAAGTGTTGTAAAGTATGACTGAAGTATGGAAGGCTAAAAATACACTGAGGAGTTGCAGTTACCTGTTGGAATTTCAGTATTAACCCAAACTGTTCAGTGAATGGTTAGTGAAATATTGGTTGAGCTGCGGAATAAGGAGAAGTATTGAAATCCTTCAAGACTTTCATGTGTTGAGGGGACAGGGACTGATTTTTTTTTTGATTGTTCTGTGCTTTCACTTCTTTCACACTTTCCTGTTCTATTAGAACAACTGGATGTGAATTAAATTGTTGGAGCTGCTGCTGTAGTTGTTATCTTAAAATAGCATCTTTTTGAGTCTGTACAAATCTGTCTATCATCAAATAAATTAGGTCATGAGTCACTGAGAAAATCAGGTGTTCTTGTAGAAGCAAATTCAGTGCCAGTAAAAGCTCTGTAATTTCCTAATGAGTAAGTTACAGAAGAAAAGACCTGGATGTGAATTAAATTGTTGGAGCTGCTGCTGTAGTTGTTATCTTAAAATAGCATCTTTTTGAGTCTGTACAAATCTGTCTATCATCAAATAAATTAGGTCATGAGTCACTGAGAAAATCAGGTGTTCTTGTAGAAGCAAATTCAGTGCCAGTAAAAGCTCTGTAATTTCCTAATGAGTAAGTTACAGAAGAAAAGACTTGGAAAGAATTGCTGCTGGTAGACTCCCAGCCCATATTTTAATTAGGTAAATGAGAAACCTTGCAAATGTTACTAACACAGAAACAGTTGGAAAACTATGAACCTTGACAGATAAGCAAGTTAGGATATTAGCTGAACACAATAGTTGTGCTGCATCACAGGGAAGTTGTTTCCTGAGGTTAACTGCAGTATTGGAGTTCTCTAAGACCTTTAGTAAATGATTTACTGGAGGGAAATGGCACCGGTTTGCCTTTAGGATTTTGGATGGATTTGGGTTTGAAAGGAGTCATAGAATCAGAGCAGCCTGCCAGGAACTGAAGGGACTCCAGGGAAGCTGCAGAAAAAAAAAGACCCTTGTCTCATTCTCATTCGGGTACGAATTGAAAGAGGGGAAATCGAGGTTAGTTATTAGGAAGAAGTTCTCCCTGTGAGGCTGGTGAGACACTGTCCCAGGTTGCCCAGGGAGGTAGGAGATGCCCCAACCCTGGCAGTGTTCACAGCCAAGTTGGATGAGCCTTGAGCAACCTGTTCTGGTGGGAGGTGTCCCTGCCCAGGGCAGGGGGTTGGACTAGATCATCTCTAAACTCTATTCCAACCCATTAATAGTCTATGAATCACAGAATGGTTTGGGTTAGAAGGAACCTTAAAGTTCATCTAATTCCAGCCTCTCTGCCATGAGCAGGGACACCTTCCACTAGACAAAGTTGCTCCATCCAACCTGGCCTTGAGTTCTGACTCAGCTGTTTAGGAATGAAAAGTAGTAATTCTGAAAACATTATTTCCAGGGATGTATTTCGTGGGTATAGATGATGTTACTCTTTTCAAAGTACAACAGCTTCTCTTGATATATATATTTTCTGAGGCATTCTCTAGGTGTACACACAATTCTAACTCTTCATGGATTCACAGCAGGTACAAGTGAGCTGGTAATGCTGAGCCTGGACCTTGTGAAAACTCGCCTGGCTGTGATGAGCATGGAAATGAGGAAAAACTTCATCCAAGCCATTCTAACATCTCTGATTGAAAAATCGACTGATGCTAAAATTCTTCGTGCAGTGGTGAAAATAGTGGAGGAGTGGGTGAAAAACAACTCCCCAATGGCAGCTAATCAGGTAAACTACTGAGAAGGCAGCATCACTGTTGCTCTCAAATACTAAATATTTTAAGCCACTGGTATTCGTCAGTTTTGACAATGAGGTTTGTAATGAGCTTTTCTATATGTTTAGATGCCCTTGATGAGGTTTGGACTAGTTTGCATCCCCTGTGGAAACAGATGGAGTTAGAGATGCTTTTTGTAGGCTTAGATTTGGTGTTTGATCTCAAATGCTACTTTGTTGAGAAAAGATATGTTTTCCATTAACCTGGATAGAGAGATTCTTCAGGAGGAAGATGACTGATGCTGGGATAAATCATGTCACTCCTGTATCATCTTGTGGCCTCTGTTAGAGCTGAGGACTTGCCAATCTAGCACTGTGTAAAAGTACCTACACTTTAAAATATACATTAGATTTCTGTAATCGTTCAACAGCTTAAACCTGTTTTTAGTCACAATTTTGATACTCTCCAGCACGTATTAGAAAGAGAAATGCTTAAATTGCTTTTCTTTAGAAGAGCTATAGTTTTCAGTCCTTTAGAAGTGGAAGAGTGGCATAAAGGAAGGCTGAGTTGGACTTTGTGCTGATTCTCTGCATGTTTTCAGGTGAACTAACAGAACTAATCATGCCTTCCCTTACCACAGACGCCTACTCTGCGTGAGAAGTCCATTTTGCTAGTGAAAATGATGACTTACATTGAGAAGCGATTTCCAGAAGACCTTGAGTTAAATGCTCAGTTCTTAGACCTTGTTAACTATGTCTACAGGTAATTATAGCCATTAATCACTTACTGCAGCTTATTGGTTAAGAATTTGTACCATATATGACCTTTATAGCATGTCATCAATCTTTTTAGCTCTGACTTAAGGGAGGTTTTTTATATATGGTGATTTTTTTAGATCTAAAATGCAAAATCAATTCACTGAGACCACAGCACATATTTGAAAATAGAAGTTCCTTAGAAAGCATTTGGCACTGGTAAGATATCTCCACCATCCCAACCTCTTCCTTTCCCAAGGTTCCAAGGCATCCTCCTAGCTGATCGTGTTCTCAATGCTGTGTTGGCAGCTGAAATCTGATTTTTCCCATAATGTTTTGGGGGAAAAAAGGGTATAAAGGTTTATTTTGTTGTTGAAACTTTATTGGAAATTAGGCTTTAGGGAGAGTTACTTTGCTGGTAAATTGGCAGGTTGGAATCATGGTGAAACAACGAAGAGTTACCTTCTCAACAGTTGCCGAGGGTTGAATGTTGTGCTGCAGATTCACATGATTTCAAGTCTCTCTTTGCTGCTGGTTCACTGTGCAAAGCCTTTATGTGGACACCATGCTCCCAAGTCTTAATCAGTGAATTACATTGGCCATTTCAAACAGAAATGTGGCTCAGTGTTTTTCAATTATTATAAATTTTACCCTGCAAGAGCTTTTTCTGATAGTTCTGGGGCAGTTCTCTAACAAGAAGCAGTATTTTCCTTGCTGCTTCTTGCTGCACCTGGATGAGCCTCACACCATGTGGGCTTGGACAGAGTATCACCTCTTGGGATTTTTAGTATGTGATGTATAAAACCTGGAAGGTTTTTTTATAATGTCATTGTTATTTCATCTTGTTCACTTGGTTGGTGCAGCCTAGAGAAGGGGAGACTGAGGGGAGACCTCATGGCTGTGTACGACTTCCTCACTGAGGGAAGTGCAGGGGCAGCACTCACCTCTTCTGTCTGGCAGTCAGTGCCAGGACCAGAGGGAGTGGCCTGAATTTGTGTCACGGGAAGGTTAGGCAGGAAGGTTAGGCTGGAGATTAAGAAAAGGTTCTTCCCCCAGAGGTGTTTGGGTACTGAACAGCTTCCCAGGGCAGTAGTCAAGGCCCCAAGCCTGACAGAGCTCAAGGAGTGTTTGGACAATGCTCTTAGGCACAGGTTGGGATTCTCAGGGATGTCCTATGCAGGGCCAGGAGTTGGACTAGATGATCCTCAAGGGTCCCTTCCAATTCTGGTTATTCTGTGATCCTGTGATCTTTATTCCTTTCAGGGATGAGAACCTTTCAGGGAGTGAGCTGACAGCCAAGCTGGAGCCTGCGTTTCTCTCTGGGTTGCGTTGTGCCCAACCTCTCATCCGAGCCAAGTTCTTTGAGGTGTTTGACAACTCCATGAAGCGCCGTGTGTACGAGAGGCTGCTCTACGTCACCTGCTCCCAGAACTGGGAGGCCATGGGCAACCACTTCTGGATAAAGCAGTGCATTGAGGTAGGGGAGTGATTTGCATATGTTTTATTCCCTGTTTTTCTTGTTAGGTGTAAAAGCAACATGCAATGTGTCTTGTAGTATGGATTATAACAGCCCTGGGAGAAGGACTTAGGGATGATTGTTGGTGAAAAATTCCTCATGAACTGCAGTGTGAGCTCACAGCCCAGAAACTGCAACCAAAGGAGTGTGGTCAGAGGGTCAAAGGAGGTGATTTTCCCCCTCTACTCTGCTCCTGGAGTGCTGCACACAGTTCTGGTCTCCCCAGCATCAGAAGGACATGGAACTATTGGAGCAAGTCCAGAGGAGGCCATGAAGCTGATCAGAGTGTGAAATGTGTTCCCCTGATTTGTGTCACTATGAAGCAAGGTTGGAATCATGTAGCAGAATATGAGTCTAGTGTGGGTAATCATTAGTAGATCTGTCTGGTTTTATATTAGTAAAAGAATATAGGGGAGATAGAAATAAAAGATTAACTAAACTGAACTAATAACTATGAGGACTGGAGGCAAAATAAGTTACAACATGCCATAGGAAACAAGCTAACTCTTTCAGGGAACCTTGAGGAAAAACACTCATTTGCAAGTAAAAGGATTTACTAACCCTATAGAAAAGAGGGGGACTGATACAGAGGAACTGAAACTGGTACAAAGGAGCTAAAAGGATTAATCAATGATGTACTGGAAGTCACTTACTGAACAACTGGTACTGCCTGCTTGTGCTTGCTCCACATTGACAGGCACACTTCAAAAGGAGAGGATACTGACCAGAGCTAAGGGGAGGGAATTGATAAGAGAAGTAGGCTCCAAAGAAAGAATTTAAGGAGGCACAGGCTGGGTAAACAAAGTAGGCTCCAAAAAGGCAATTAAAGGCTGGTTGAGTCAACAAGGGAAGAAATAAATCAAGATAGTAGTTCACAACAGGGTGTTACCTTATCTTACCAAATGTATAGAACACTAATTTTAGGATTGCTTTACCTTATTAACACATAAGAATGCTGAGTTAGTAAAAAACAAATATAAGGTGCATGTGCTAAAGGACGAGGTGAAAAGTTTAAGCTGATGAATACTACTAGCCTTCCTCTTGAAGACCCCTGCCCACGACCACCTGAAGACACTGTGCAAGCGCAAACGCATGGAAATGAGTTTAGAGCTCATTATAATACGAAGTGGGGACAGGTTATGAGTATGTATTAACTTAGAGCTTATAAACCAAAAACCAGAACTGTAAGGTGTGTGTGTTGGTGGAGCGCAGACTCCCCACGCACCCAGCGCTGTTTGCTTGTTTATATTTGCATAATAAATTGTGAACTTTGACTGTAATCCCATTTGGGACTCAGTCTTTTATCACAAGAGGATTAGAGAACCTTCCCTACGGTTCTATGGTTGGGTCTGTTCAGCCTAGAGAAGAGAAGGTTGTGTGGAGACCTCCAGGATCTGAAGGGTCTGAGTGGATTGAGGGCACTAAATACATGTTAAAAATACAAAATAGACTTTAGGCATAGAAGATCTTATTGCATAAAGGTGATAAATAGGCCTTACATAAACTCTTATAACTTTTACCTTGTTTTTGAGTATGAAGCCATAGTGATCATGGAATCAGCATGTTTTGAATCATGGAATCCTCAAGGTTGGACAAGACCTCTAAGATCATCAATCCAACCCGTAACCTGTCACTGCTGCAACCCCTAAACCCCAAACCTCCAGTGCCTCCAGACACCTCAAACACCTCCAGGGCTGGCGACTCCACCACCTCCCTGGGCAATATCCCAGTGCCTGAACACTCTTAACAGGGAAAACGTTTTGCCTACCATCCAATCTGAACCTCTCCTGTCTCAGCTTATGACTATTCCCCTCTAGTCCTCAAGGCCGAAGGTTCAAAAGGCTTCCAAGATCAGCAAGTCGTTGGATGGATGATCTTAGAAGTCTTGTCCAACCTTAATGATTTCATTTTGTCTGAATCAATAAGGGTTACCACACAAACTAAACACCCTGGAGCTGGAGGCAGCTCTAAAGCGGCCCTGGCTCTGCAAAGCTTTCTTCCATGACCCTTCCCTTGGCTGCATCCTGCTCCCAGTGCAGGAAACTGGGATCTGACCTGCTGCTGGGTGCCAGAAAGGAAAACACTTGAGCTCTGTGGGTCAAGGAATCAGTGATGTGGCACCAGCAGCTTCAAGAGTTTAAATTACTTGTCTCTAGAAGGTAGATAATAATCAAGTTATTGCTACTGATATTCAAATGTTTATCATCATTTCTTCCTTACCCTGGAATAAGACAAACTGACTTGCAGCTCTTTAATTTCCTTGCAAGATACTGGCTGGGTGTACCCAGATTTGACAGGTTTTCCCTATGTTTTCTTTCAAATACTACAGTCAAATAAACTGATATTTAAAAACTCTCCTTGCTTTTCAATGCCTTAGCTGCTGCTGGCAGTGTGTGAGAGGAACACTACCATTGGGACCAGCTGCCAAGGTGCTATGCTGCCTTCTATCACCAATGTCATCAACCTTGCTGACAGTCACGACAGAGCAGCCTTTGCCATGGTGACCCATGTCAAACAGGAGCCTCGGGAGAGGGAAAACAGTGAATCCAAAGAGGAGGTAACTGGCAGAATATATTGTGGAAAAACTATCTCTTTGATGGAATGTAGCTCTTCCTAGTTTCTCTTCAAGTAAGTGTGGAGATTTTGCTTTGGAGATGATGTGTGCAGATTGCTAGTGTATCTGGTGGTTATTACATTGTTTTGAGCATGCAAAGCTCTCGTTCATTCATTGAGCCTTTAGCACTCTGGCAATTACTGGTCTGAACCTGAAGAAGTAGCAGGAATAGAGTCACAGAATAGTTTGGAAGGGACCTTTAAAGGTCATCCAGTCCAACCCCCTTCCATGTGCAGACACATCTTCAACTAGATCAGATTGCTCAGAGCCCTGTCCAACCTGGCCTTGAATGTTTCCAGGGCTGAGGACATCTGCCACCTCTCTGGGCAACCTGTGCCAGTTATTGTTGAGTCTTTCTTATATCTAATCTAAATCAGCCCTGGTTTAGTTTAAAATCATTACCCCTTGCCCTGTAGTAACAGGCCCTGCTAAGAAGTTTGTTCCCATCTCAACGTAAGAAGGACATAGAACTGTTGGAACAAGTCCAGAGGAAGCCACAAAGCTGATCAGAGGACTGGAGCACCTTCAGTATAGAGAGAGTTGGGGCTGTTCAGCCTAGAGAAGAGAAGGCTGTGTGGAGACCTCAAAGCAACCTGCCAGGATCTGAAGGGGCTTCAGGGAAGCTACAGAGGGACTTCTGGTTAGGAATTGCAGTGACAGGACAAGGGGTAATGGGGATAAATTGAAAGAGGGAAATTTAGATTAGATGTCAGGAAGAAGTTTGCAGGGGAGAAGTTCCATCCTTCTAATCAGTTTTGCGAGAAGGCTGAGACCTCAAAGCAACCTGCCAGGATCTGAAGGGGCTTCAGGGAAGCTACAGAGGGACTTCTGGTTAGGAATTGCAGTGACAGGACAAGGGGTAATGGGGATAAATTGAAAGAGGGAAATTTAGATTAGATGTCAGGAAGAAGTTTGCAGGGGAGAAGTTCCATCCTTCTAATCAGTTTTGCAATCCTTTGCTGAGGACTGCAAGGTAGTGAGACCTGAAGTAAGTTGATCAGGAGATTATTTTGTACACAGAGGGACTTCTGGTTAGGAATTGCAGTGACAGGACAAGGGGTAATGGGGATAAATTGAAAGAGGGAAATTTAGATTAGATGTCAGGAAGAAGTTTGCAGGGGAGAAGTTCCATCCTTCTAATCAGTTTTGCAATCCTTTGCTGAGGACTGCAAGGTAGTGAGACCTGAAGTAAGTTGATCAGGAGATTATTTTGTACTTGGGGGTTGGAAAAAGCAAAAGTAAGTAGAAGATATCTATGTTTATTTACTGAGTTGTTTACTTTTTGTGTAGGATGTGGAAATAGACATTGAACTGGCTCCAGGGGATCAGACCAGTACACCCAAAACGAAGGAGCTCTCCGAGAAGGACATTGGCAATCAGCTGCACATGTTGACCAACAGGCATGACAAATTTCTTGACTCTCTTCGAGAGGTGAAGGTTGGTACCGGTCACTGGGGACAAATTGCTTTAATACTCAAATCTTCCAACTCATCTGAGGTGGTTGTTTGCTTTTTTTTGTCTCACACTAGAGATTTTCCAGCCGAGTTTTCTTATGTATTCATCTCTTATAATCTGCTGTATTTGCATATGATAAATACTTAAGCCTTCACTTCATCACTGGTTGTTACTGTAGCATTTTTCTACAGAATTCAGTTTCATTCTCCTTCATCTGTAAGTATATTTTAACTGTTCAGTTCTGAAAACAGTGATGGCAAAGACAGGGCATAGGATCAAAAAATGTGTTGACATCTGATGATTAAATAATTTCTCAGAAAATAATTTGAGCTGAAAGCTCTGTTGAAACAACTCCCACAGTAGTACCAGCTCTATCCAATTAACCAAAAGTCATCAAGGCCTTTCTCTTTTCCTTCCTTTTTTTCAATGAATCAGAGTCTCAGTCAACATGAAAACAGGATTAATTTCTTGTTACAGTAGCTTACATTGCTAAAGTAAACCTGTTTTTGTTGGAAAAGGCATTTGCACTACTGCTTAAACAACTGTATAACTGAACTATTTTTCCCTGGGATTAATTGCATTTTCCTATTTCTCTCCATCTCTTCTTTCCAGACTGGAGCATTGCTGAGTGCCTTTGTTCAGCTATGTCATATTTCCACCCCATTAGCAGAGAAGACTTGGATACAGCTTTTTTCAAGGCTTTGGAAAATCTTGTCTGATAGACAACAACATGTGAGAATCTCCTTCTTACAGATTGCTCTGGGTTAATTGCTGCTGGTTCAGGCAAATTTATTGGTGTGATGATTTTGTTCACTGAGTTTGCCATTCTTTGACTGGTGGATGTTGTATATCAATACACCTTTGGAAAGAGACAGGCCCTTAGAGACATACATTTATCAAATAGTTGTTCCCTGTACTGATGAGATTTTAAATGTAAATTATAGAATCATAGTATGTGAAGAGGTTGGAATGCAGTTTAGAGATCATCCAGTCCCAATCCCCTGCCCTGGCCAGGGACACCTCCCACCAGAGCAGGTTGCTCAAGGCTTTAGCCAACCTGGATTTGAACACTGCCAGGGTTGGGGCAGTCACAGCCTCCCTGGGCACCCTGTGCCAGTGTCTCACCACCCTCACAGAGAAAACTTCCTCCAGATAGCTAATCTAAATTTCCCTCTTTCAATTTATCCCCATTAAATTCTCTGCTTGAAGAATCTGAATGAGCAGGTAACTTCTGTTTTCTCTCCTAGGCTCTGGCAGGTGAAATAAGCCCTTTCCTGTGCAGTGGGAGCCACCAAGTGCAGCGAGATTGCCAGCCAAGTGCTCTGAACTGCTTTGTGGAAGCAATGTCACAGTGTGTCCCTCCCATCCCCATTAGACCTTGTGTGCTGAAGTACTTGGGAAAAACTCATAACCTCTGGTTCCGTTCTACTCTGATGCTGGAACATCAAGCCTTTGAGAAAGGACTGAGCCTGCAGATTAAACCTAAACAGACAACAGAGTTTTATGAGCAAGAAAGCATAACTCCTCCTCAGCAGGTATTGTTCTAGTCATAGAAATACCTTATGAGATATGAAGAGAAAAACCTAACACTGACAAGTCCTTCTCTAACCGTGTCCCCAAGTGTCATGTTACATTGACAGAAAGCTGAACATGAGCCAGCAGTGTGCTCAGGTGGCCAAGAAGGCCAATGGCATCCTGGCCTGGATCAGAACAGTGTGGTCAGCAGGACCAGGAGGTGATTCTGCCTCTGGACTCGGTGCTGGTGAGGCCACACCTTGATTACTGTGTGCAGTTCTGGGCCCCTCAGCTCAGAAAGGATATTGAGGTGCTGGAGCAGATCCAGAGAAGAGCAACGAGGCTGGTGAAGGGACTGGAGCACAAGTGCCATGAGGAGAGGCTGAGGGAGCTGGGGGTGTTCAGCCTGGAGAAGAGAAGGCTCAGGGGAGACCTTATCACCCTCTACAACTCCCTGCAGGGAAGTTGGCATCAGGTGGGGGTTGGTCTCTTCTCCCAGGCAACCAGCAGGAGGACAAGAGGGCACAGACTCAAGCTCTGCCAGGGGAGGATTAGGTTGGATTTTTGGAAGAGATTTTTTACGGAGAGAGTGATCAGGCATTAGAATGGGCTGCCTGGGGAGGTGGTGGATTCACCATCTTTCGAGGTTTTCAAGATGAGACTGGATGTGGCACTTCGTGCCATGGGCTAGTGACCACAGCAGTGTTGTAATTTGGCTGCCTGGGGAGGTGGTGGATTCACCATCTTTCGAGGTTTTCAAGATGAGACTGGATGTGGCACTTAGTGCCATGGTCTAGTGACCACAGTAGTGTTGTACTTTTAAACACCTCCAAGGGTGGTGACTCTACCAGTGCCCTGGGCAGGCTGTGCCTGGGCTTTGCAACCTTTGCGGTGAAGAGATTTTCCGAGCATCCAATCTAAACCTCCCCTGGTGCAACTTGAGGCTTTTCCTCTTGTCCCATCGCTTATTACTTGGGAAAAGGGGTTGACCTCCACCTTGGTACAGTCTTCTGTCAGGGAGTTGTGGAAAGCAGAAGTTCCCCCCGAGCCTCCTTTTCTCTAGGCTGGGCTCCCCCAGCTCCCTCAGCTGCTCCGTGTGCTCCAGCCCCTTCCTAAGCTCCTTTTCTGGACACACTGCAGCCCTTCAAAGTCTTTCCTGTATTATGGGGCCCAAAATTGAACACAGATTTCAAGGTGTGACCTCACCAGTTCCAAGTACAAAGGGACAATTCTCTTCTAAATATTTGTATTTAGAAATACGTTAAAGTGGTGGTTTTCTTCTAACGTGTTGAAGAACTTCCTCTGCTTTTGTGTTTGAACACAGACACTTGCAACACTACCTTGTGCCTTACCTACTTCTTGTGCTTTTCTTTCATCTGTCATTGATATCTGTTTTTCTCTCTTATCCATCTGATTTTGGCACCAATTCTCTGCAGCTCTGTAGCACTAGATATAACCATTTCTGCCCCTAATTTTAAATCTGGAGTGGAAGTCAGTCTTGCTTCCCTCACAGGGAATATACTTTCTGTCATCGAGTCTCTTGGTATGTGACCTCAGAGAGCTATTAGCTAATCAAAATTGAGTTTTCTGTAAACAGGTGTTCTTGTGTTTAGTAGTCTGTCAGGTATGAACTACCTGGGCATGTCTGGGATCGGCTGAGGAGGCTAAATACTACACATTCTTTGTTTTACCTTAAGGGCAGAGTTGTTGGCTTGTTGAACAGATTTTCTTTCTATCATTTGACCTGTTGTATTAGGGAAGACAAGCAGGAATCAATGTACAGGCTTTAGTATTTCTCATGTAATGCAGTGGTGTTGTTCTCAGTACTTGGTTGTTGCTAATTTGCCTTGTAGAGTTTTAAAGAGAGTTTCGATTTCAACCACTTCTGTTTGCATGTCTTTCTCAGTTTGCCTCAGTGTAGAACATGGGGGGTTGCTATATGCTCTATAATGACAGCTTGACTGTGGAGAAATGTATGTTCTTAACATTGTAGGAAATCCTGGATTCCCTTGCTGAGCTCTACTCCTTGTTACAAGAAGAGGATATGTGGGCTGGGCTGTGGCAGAAACGCTGTAAATTCCCAGAGACAGCAACAGCTATTGCCTATGAGCAGCATGGATTCTTTGAGCAGGTACAGTCTGGGTGCTGGAAATGATCTGAAGAGTTCTGCTGTCAGAATGAATGTTCTGATTGGCAAGAAAAAACCTTGAATATTAATTATTAACTTCAGTCTTCTAAAATAGTATCATGGCATCATATCATAGTATATTAAGGGGCTGGAATGGAGCTTAGAGATCATCCAGTGCCAGCCCCCTGCCCTGGGCAGGGACACCTCCCACCAGAACAGGTTGTTCAAGGCTTTAGCCAACCTGGCTGTGAACACTGCCAGGGTTGGGGCAGTCACAGCCTCCCTGGGCAACCTGGGACAGTGTCTCACCACCCTCACAGGGAAAATTTCCTCCTGATATCTAGCCTAAATTTCCCTCTGTGAATTTATCCCCATTGCTCCTTGTCCTGTCACTGCAGTTCCTAACACAGAGTCCCTCTGCAGCTTCCCTGGAGCCCCTTCAGGTCCTGGCAGGTTGCTTTGAGGTCTCCACACAACATTCTCTTCTCCAGGCTGAACAGCCCCAAGTCTTTCCATAGGGCAGATGCTCCAGTCCTCTAATCAGTTTTGTGGCCTCCTCTGGACTTGCTCCAACAGTTCCACATTCTTCTGATGCTGGTGCAATTCTGCTAAGATCAGATTTTTGAGCACACCCATCAGTTTTCCATGACATTTGGAAAGCTGCCAAATTATTCAGGAGTATTCAGGAATGAGTTTAACACACTTCCCTCTTGTTTTTTAAATATATGAAGCTTTTCTTATCACTAGTTTTTGAAAAGAAAAAAGGATTGAGTTACTGTGTATATAACAGATGGAAAATAGAATGGTTTGAATTTTCTTTAGGCACAAGAAACATATGAAAAAGCAATGGAGAAGGCTAAGAAGGAGCATGAACGGAACAATGCTTCCCCTTCCATCTTCCCTGAGTATCAGCTTTGGGAAGACCACTGGATTCGGTGAGACTTTAAGGCTGATGTAGAACAAGTATTTTTACCCTGCAATATAAGTATTTCCTCCTGAAATAGAAGCAAAATACCCTGCAATAGGAGTAAAATACCCTGCAGGAGGAGTAAAATGCTCTGCTACTGGTTTGAGCATTATTTAGAAGATAAACTTATCTCAAAACTTACTTCAGATCCAGAGGAAATTTAAGGGAATAAAATTAGCTGGTTTTTAATTACACGATATGCATATATATATATGCCTGAATTGCTGTAAAAATGTAATTTGCTGTTGGTGACAACAAACTGGAGCCCCAAATTTGGTTTTCCTCTATAAAATGATTATTGTGGGAGACACAAAATGCAGCTCTTCCCTGATCACAGATTTGTGTGTTATAACTGGTAATAAATAAATAAGTCTTCTCATGTGGATAAAGCTTTTGTAGTACTTGCAAAGCTATTTGTAGACAAAGAGATCTGTAGATAATCATCTGATACACAACATTTAGGATGACTTTTATTGAAGTGGGTTTTTAATGTTAGTTTGTTTGGGGTTTTGTACCCAAATTGACACTGCTTTTGGTTTTCTTAGTTGCTCAAAAGAATTGAACCAGTGGGAACCTTTGACAGAATATGGGCAGTCAAAAGGGCATATAAATCCTTACCTGGTGTTGAAGTGTGCATGGAGGGTCTCAAACTGGATTGCTATGAAGGAAGCTCTGGTGCAGGTGAGTGAGGGCTTTTTATGCTCATGGTTAGTTTATTCTCATCCTCTTGTAGGTATCTTCTTCCCAACTGTTTTAAGAACTATCCCATGTGGATAGGCTGGTGGTTGTTGTTCTTGAGGCTGCTCTACTGCCAGGCCATAGGTCCATCCTGGGCTTCTTGGGGCAAATGACAGACTTTGATGTTGGAGTCACCAGTAGATTGTCTGGGATTTATTTTACCATATTGTGTCACTGTTGTATAGAAGATGGAAAACATGGGTGGTTTGGTTTGGTTTTTCTTTGACTCAGTTTAATTTAAGGAATTACATCTCTTCTTATAGTAGATAGAGTTGCTCAGCCATGACTAATTACTATAGGAATATAAACCAGATGTAGCAGTGAAGTCTGAATGGTGAGAATACAAATCCCAGGTGGGAAGGAGGTTGCTGATCTTGCACTGTTGCTGTACAGTGTGACATCACTGGAATGACTCTGCTAAAGCTGCCAGAATATGCAATAAGGGGGTGAATTGATTATTTAAATACAATTTTACTGGCAAAGCTCTGAGTGTTTTCTCATATTGCAGAGAGTGAACCAGACCAATCAGTCTTTTATTAATTTGCATTTATTATTTCATCAGTACTGTGTGTTTTGAACTAATACCTACCAGTTAACAGTATTACATGTCAAATTGACTGTCTAGTTTCATACTATTTGCAGAAGACAGAACATGATGATAGAAAGTGCTGAGCATTCTTTAATTCCAGTGTTCTGCAGGGTTAACTTGCTATACACAAACTATTCCAGCAGCATGTTCCATTGTGACAGCTTAGTCCCACATAATATTGTACATTGTATTATAAACCTTGAGACTGAACAGAATGAAATAGATCAGGTCTGACAGGTTCTGCTTTTGAGAATTGCAAGTTGAGTGGAAATGTAGACCCCCAGTAAGTGCTGATATGATGTGGTTGCAGTTCTGTTCAATGAGGTGTTTGCAGTAATGAGAGATTTAGTAAAAGACTAAGGAGAAGATGCTGCTGCAGCCATAAATGCTTTTGTGACTCTATTCAGGTTCTTGTAAAGCTGTCAGGACACTTTTGCATAAATATGAGGACCTGAAAGCATAATTACAGAATCATAGAATCCTCAGGGTTGGAGGAAACCTCTAAGACCATCAAGTCCAACCATTAACCGATCACTGCTGAAACCCCGAAACCCTAAACGATATCCTCCAGTGCCAGATCCACACTCATCTTAAACACTTCCACAATGGCGACTCCACCACCTCCCAGGGCCATTTCCTATTCCAGTGCCTGAACACCCTAAGAGGTATCAGGTACAGTGTGGTCAGCAGGACCAGAGAGGTGGTTCTGCCCCTGGACTCAGCACTGGTGAGGCCACACCTTGAGTACTGTGCTCAGTTCTGGGCCTCTCAGTTCAGAAAGGATATTGAAGTGCTGGAGCAGGTCCAGAGAAGAGCAACGAGGCTGGTGAAGGGACTTGAGCACAAATGCTACGAGGAGAGGCTAAGAAAGTTGCGATTGTTTAGCCTGGAGGAGGCTCAGG